CGTGAATGTGCACTGTCATTTTTAAAATTTAGTAAAAACACACTGAAGTAGTAGATATCATGGGTAATAATTTTCTACGATAATAATCAATTTTTTATAAGTAAAAATATAAATATTATAAAATATACAATCTACTTTCTTTTTTAGTTTAATCAAATTAAATTAAGCAAAATAAATTTAACTCATTTTTTTTTACTATGGGATTTTAAATCCTTAGAATAATTAAAATGGATTGAAGTTTAATTTTGAAATAACTATCCTATAAGGGAAAGTTTTTTCTTGAAAAGATTAAATTTGCCGAAAATTTCATATGCTATAATTAATTTCATACGCTATAATTTATTATCTTAAGATTATTTTATTTTATTTTTTACCTATTCAATAATTTAATTTCGTTTAGTTGATATAAAGACGTTAAAATTATGTAAACAATATATAAATTAGAAATAAAAAAAAGTTGAATAAAAATTATGGAAAATGTAGTTTTTGAATGTAAGAGAGAATATTATTTTAAGGTTTTATAAGTAAAATAAGATTTATTTTATAAGTGTAAAATATATAATGCACCAACGAAAGTATCATTTCTAATTTACAAATATTAAATTTTACTATAGATATTTTTTGTTATAGAATTAAAAAAAAAAAAAATTAAAGAAGTACAATTTAGTGAACATGCATGTAGAATTATTTATTTTTCACTTTTTGGATAGTCTTAAAAATCCATGAACGAAAATGATAATGCATGCATGACAATGTTAGGAGATGTAACAATATTTTATTTTCGACACTATATATAGATAGGTATTAGGTACCTTCAATCAACCAATGTTACAACAATTAATATAGATAGATGGGAAGTTTTAATCAATCAAATATGTTATTATTCCTAATAATTTTCAAGTAATTTTTTTTAAATAATTTCGACTTTAAACATTTTTCAAATATTTATATCTCTTATATCATTATATGCAGAGACAAAGTATATATCTAAATATTACGAAATATTACACATGCAAATATAATTGAATTTTCAACAGTTATAATCAAAATAATAGAGAACGAAACATTCAACTATAGTGCTAGCTTCCAATCAACAGTAAGCAAATGATAATTACAAATTATAGTTATAGTAAATTCGAGGTATTTTTCAAATAGTAAGACGCAAAAGGAAGACATTAAAAAATTATTATTTTGACAATAATAATGATCATTATTTTAAGCATTAAGGATGATATTACTAAATAGCAAAATCAAGGACGACATAGATTTCTTTAGCATTTACAATTTCACAAAAAAATATTAATTTTATTTTAGATTTTTTAACCAATGTTTTTTATTTAATTTTAATTGTCTTAGAATTCTGTTAATTTATATTTTATCATAAAATACACAATTTTTGTTAATAATGAAAACAAAATAAAATATAATAATAAAAATGTTTTAAGTAAAAAAAACAATAATATCACGTGCATAGCACGTGCATCTTTCTAGTGATTACAAGTGTAGCTCAAGTGAGTTAATGGCTAATAACATTAAGAAGGGAAACTCTTGTCCTGACCAAGCTTCTAAATAAGGCTTCTAAACACTCTTCAATTTCTTGAATGAGCATTTCGGATGCTCTTAACTGCATCAACATGGTTTTGCTGTCCATGTTCTTTGCTGATTTGTGGATTCTTAAGGAACTTAGATCCATATCACCACTTTCTTGATCGACCTCAGAATGTACACGGCTTGTACTTTGGGTGAACTTCGAAAGCAATGTCGACCAACTTTTCTTGGTTGGTGTATCCTTTTGCCCGGATAAGACTACCAAGAGAGACTTCAGAATTGACAGGTCAATGGACTCTGCTTCTTTTAGAATTTTCCCAATGGGGGAAAGTGGTGAGGAATTTTGGTTGGTGGTCATCAAGTTCTTGATGTACTTGTTGACCATCTTGTTGACTTTCTTCCTCGATGCCGCATAAGCATTTAAATCGTCTGCTTGTCTTCTAATGGAGGATTGAAGCGCTTGAATGGATTCCTTGGTCAAACATAAAACATCTCTTGAAAACCCACAGAGATCGACTAGCCTTAGAGATCCCTCGAGCAACTCATTTGTCCAATTTTCATTTTGTAGATGGGCAAGCTCTTGTTGGACTGAAGGCGTCTGAATCATATCATTAATGCCCTCATGTAAATCTCTAAGGCTAGCTAAGTTTTTGCAAATGGAAGACGTTGATGCGGCTTGTGAGGCCTTAAGCCTCTCCAAGTGATCTTCAACGGCTTTTGCAGTCGGGTGTGACTGAGATGGGAAACTATTTGATCGAACGTGAAAAGAAGCCATTTGCAGGGGTAGAAAGTCGTTTAGAGGGTGATTTATATGGTATGTGTTTTTTTGAGAGAAGATGTTCAATTGCTTGAATCTATTTGCTTGTCATCAGCTATATATATATATATATATATATGTATGTAAGGGAGATGGATTAAGAAGACAAAGTGAATATATTCCAGCTACAGTGCCTTGTCACCTCTGGATATCAAAATTATTGCGAGCGTTCACGAGCGCCAACTGAATCCATCGAATATTAAACATTACATGAAAAAAAAATGCAATGATCAAATTATACAGATCTCAGCTACAAATGATACTGAAACATGGGGAATCTTCCCAGCTATGTTATTAGTAATCTATTGATCATTCACAGAACAATGTGAAAGTTGGAATCAAAATATCAGGTAGTGTTGGGTTGGAGGCTTCAGACAAAGATGAAAATATAATGGTAGACACATGCATACAACCACATGCATAATGTTGATTGATTTTTATATTCAAATCTGAACATGAGGACATGTTTGGCAATAATTATTTGAAAAAAAAAAAAAA